GCACGGAGCCCATGGGGAGCAGCGTCCCCCCGCGCGCCCCTCGGGACGGGCCGGGGGGCTGAGCCCTGTCTGCCCCCCAGGACTACATCAGCCTCTTCCCGCTGGACGACACGCAGCCCTCCAAGCTCATGCGCCTGCTCAGCTCCAACGAGGAAGACGCCAACATCCTCTCCAGCCCCAGTAAGTGCAGGCTGCTCCGGGGAGGACACGTCCTGCCTCGCCGCCCGCTCGTGGGCGAGAGGCGCCGGCACAAAAACCCCCTTTTCCTCCCGAGCGGACCCAGCAGCCTCCCCGTGGCCTCCCCGTCCGGGCCTGGTGCAATGTGGAGCCTGGCAGCAGGAGGCAGCAGCTCCCTTGGAGCTCAGCACCCTCTTTAGCTGCCCTGTAAAACACCCCGTGTCCGACCATCCCTTTGCTGCGGAGCCCCGCGGTGCCATGCTCAAAATCCCCTGTTACTGTCGGGGATTTAGCGCTCTCGAACGGGGGAGTTCTGAGTTCCTGAAGGGCTTTTGCGCTGAGAAAAGTCTGCGGGTTTTTGTTCCTGCAATGGAAAAGGCTTTAGGAAGAGGGAGGAGGTTACGTCTGCCCTGTCTGGTGTCACCACCCATGGGGGTGCCCGGCGCACGGGTCTCACGGAGGTTTTTCAACCCTGTCACTCATGGCCACTCTGAGGGCACTGAGGAGCTGTTGCGCTGTCACCCTCCCCGGCACGTCCGGAGGTGACGTTTCCGCTGTATCTCTGATTAAACCCCGAAATTCCAGTGTTGTTACCGAGGCAGCAAAGGGAGCGGATGAGGCGCTGCGGTCACGTCTCCGCGTGGCCGGAGCGCGGATGCTCCGCGTTGCAACAGCGCTGGCAGGAAGCGCGGCCGGGGTCCCGTCCCCTCCTGCCATGCGGAATGCGACGCAGCGGCTGCTGCGGCCCCGAATTACACGGAGACTCCTGGGCAGTGAGTCAGGATGTTCCCTGCTCCTTGTTTCTTCCGATGCCCTTAGTCCAACGTGCTCTGTTAGATGCTTCTCAGCGCATCCATCACCCCGTGGTTTCTGTTGGTTTCATTACTGTTGTAATTTGGGGCTTTCCCTTTATTTCGTTATCTTTTTTTAACCGTTGGTGCAGTTCCCACCTCTTTCCAGTGACATTCAGGACATTTTTTGGTCGGTCTGCTGCCGAGATTTGGAAATCCTCCTTCCGGCGCCGCCGCGTAACTCAGTAATTCCATGAGAAAAGTGGGGGAGGGCTCTTTTTTTAGCATGCATCCTCTGAACGGCGCAAGGTGGGTCCCGCTGCTTGGAACAGCCGTGGAGGATGAGTGTGTTGGGGAGGCCCCGCCGCGATGATACCGGCTCCTCTCCCCCGGGACGGGGGCGTGATCCCGCCGGCCTTCCCAAGGCGGCTGCTCCCGTCTCGGCTCGGGTAGCTCCATCCTTCCGCGGGAGCGATCCCGGCGCTGCCGTGCAGCTGGGGAACATCTGTCTGGCAGCGCGTGCGGCTCGCGCCGCTCGGGCTCGCGGCGCTGCTCTTTCCCCCTCTCGGCGTGACGTGTTCGCGCTGCTCGCGCTCTCGTGCGGCGCCGCTAACGAGTCATTTGCAATTAGGGCTAAACGCTCGTGAGAGGGAGCTGCGCGGCCCCCTGTCCCGCGGAGCTGCCATCCGCCTTGGTCACGCTTGGAGTATGTCTGTCTTGTGCAAGAGCGGAGCGGGTGACACAGCCCTGTCACGCCTGGGCCTGTCCCCCGCTGCCAGCGCTGCTCGTGCCCCGGCAGCGCGCCCGGTGACAAACACGGAGACCATTTGCGTGCTCCGTGTGCTGGCCGTGTCCCGGCAGCGAGGGCGGTCGCGGTGCCGACCACATCCCGACCGTCTCCGTGCCCTCCGGGAGCGCGTCCGTGGCCGGCGTGTGCTGGGGTGGCCACGCTGGCCCGGCTGGGGACCCGTTCCAGCC